AGTGTTGAAGAAAGGGGAAAATGGAAATGTATTACATTTTAATCAGATTCAGGAATTCGCCACATTTTTCTAAGCCTGCGGAACCTATTAATAACCTTATCAATTGCCTGTTTTTGCCATTAAACCTGTGACGTCTTACACTTTTTGGTAAAACACTCAGCTGTTTGAATTCATTCATAAATTTTAGCAGCCCCAGTTTGGGCTAAATTCCAGATTGTGCAATAGATTAGGCAAGCGGCTACCAGTTTTGGCCAAAAGAGTTGCGAAACGGAAGCCGAATATAAACAGTTGAGATATGAGCCAGATATGGAGAGTTCAAGGCACTCTCTATTACAAATAAAAAAATCTCTTCTCGGTCGAATACTTAGAGCAAACGCGACGGCTTTTCCCTGATAGGAAAAATGCGGAAAAATAGGTTAAATTGGCACTTAAATTGCAGAATCTGTTCCATTTCCTATTGCTCCTTGAGAGCTCTTTGCCGAGCTGTAAGATGCTTTGATTCCGCTTTAAGTTTATTAATTGTTGGCAAAACTTTGTGACACAGACACTGAAGGCCCTGGGGCCTGAATTGAAATGCCAGGCTGAACATCAGCATCTGGATCAGGGTCTCTTTGCATCCGTAACCGTATCTGTCTGCAAAGTTTTCTTTAGAGATTCGTCCGTAGTCCTGCGACTGCGCCTCCCTTCCCCCGTTGCCATGCATATTTTACAGGTCCTGTTGCTAAACGCTTATTGAAATGTTGGCCTTGTTGCCAAGTCGGACCCACCCACTTGGCCCGCAGGAAAAGAGACCTCACCGGCAGGCCAAACGCTTAATGCCAATTAAGAATATTAATTTCATTTGCAGTCCAGGCTCGCTTAGTCCTTCCTGAGCTGCTCCCCTCGCTTTTGGGAGCCCAATATCTGACATTTGCCGGATGCACTACTTTTCCACGACGGCTACACGGGCAGAAATTGAAGGTGTACTTGAACTTGAACGCCATAAAATCAGTAGGAATACTAGCAAGTCTGCAAAGCCATATTATAAAAGGCCATATTCCATATTCCAAACGCCATATTTTTCCTGACCTTTTCGACTGCGGACTGGTCAGTTTCTCGCAGTGCAGCCCCAAGTGGCCAGTGCTATTGTTAATATTCATTAGCTTTAAATCCTTTTCTCGAGTTCTTACCATCTCATCGCATCGCAGCTTACGACCCCCATTTTCGGGGGCTACAATCAGAGATGCCTGAAAGTTTTTGCCACGTTTTCAGTTCCAATGCCAGGACATTAATCGCAATCTCAAAATGATGGAGGAAGGGAACAGGACGAAAACGATGGCCAGGACGTGCAGATAATTTTTCATTTCGGCCAGCTCAAATGGATTTCTCATTGGCTTAAATGTGCAAATGAATGGATGATGTATTCGCTTGCCATATATATATATACATATATATATATTCCAAAGGATCGGTACGGGATCCATTTAAAGCGCACAGTTGTGGGCGATAATTAATGGGCAGCTAAGGGAGCAAAATTCCTTTTTAGGTGCTAAAGGTATCTATATATTTAATGCGGTTTTGATGATGCTCTCTCATGCAGCCACTTTGAATATTTATTTATTTGTGCATTTTTATTTTCGATTTTATTATGTCAAAGTCAAATGGCTCGTTGGCGAGGGTGGCGGCAAATGCAGAGTGTCATTATTGAAATACGCAAAGATATTTCAAGGTTTTTATCGATTTTGTCAATGGGGCCACACTGCAAAAGATGGCAAAGGAGGCAGAGGAGCTGCCTCCTCCCCGGAATCTCAATCCCATTACCAAGTCCGGACCATTGACGACAGTTTGCCTTTCATTAGTCGAGCGCTTGCTCGTTTTTCCCCGGTTTTCACCCGCTTTTCCCCCGCTTTTCCACCCACATAGCCATTGGCTTTCCACCTCCTTCCCACGCCACAAAGTCCAAAACCTCTTCAAAGGCAGTCGACATCGAAATTAATCACATTTGAATTGAAATAGCGTTTCAAGTTTTGTTACGTCTTGCTTGGCTTCGTTTTGTTCAGTTTGTCTGCGTTTTCGGGGCTTTTAGATTTGCTGCGGTCACTCATATTTGGTATCAAACGATTCTAATTGGGCATGATTGCCTCTTTTTCGGGGGGTAACGGCTGTAACTGCTCTCCAGCATATCAATGGGTTGTTGGATGTATTTGAGTTTAAGCTTTGAAGACTGCACTGGCTAATCGAATATTTCATAATTAGCTGCCAGGCATTCGTTCGTTTTGAGCAGCATTTAAGAAAGGCGACAATGCAATAGTGCTCATAAAGGGTGCACAGTTTTTTAATCACAATTCAAAATTGAAAGTGCAGTATAAAATTGAACAGACACTTCGGAACGCAGCGAAATGAAATGAAATTCCCAAGTTATTTGATGAACTATTAGCTCAAAGCCATCTCATTCATTTCCATCTCAAGCCGATTTTCCCCCTGGACATTCCCCTGAAAACTAATACTGCCCAAGGAAAAGCGTCCATTGTGATATATTAAGACTGCAGTCGGCAAATCGATTTGCAATTCAATTTTGCAACTATGAAAAAGCCCCCACACAATTTCTTGTCTTTTCTGCATTTATTTAGATCCATTTGCTTGCTGAATTCTTTTCATTGTTGAAAGTCTTAAATCAATTGCAAACATATAGTTGCCCTAGTAATTAAAGGGACTTTTATATGTTTTCAACGTTTTTAAAATTTGAACATTTTGAGCATGTAAAAATTCTATAGATATAGAATTCGGTGTGTGCAGGTGTGTAGCACACACACTCACATACGCACACACAGATACGCTACATTTAACGGTAAATCAAGCGTGCATGGCAAAATTTGAGTAGCGCGTCAAAAACAGAACACAAAACGCACACAAATCGCGCACAAATCGCGCACAATACGCGCATAAAACGCGCCCAAAGGAGCGCCGACAAACAATTGAAAACAAAAAGGATATTAAGCAGAAAGCCGTGAAAAACTTTGACAATTGACATGGAAAATCTGCGAACCAGCAATTTGTCAGGCCAATAAAACGCCCGCTCTGAAAAAAAAATTAGTACACAGTCAGGGGGAAAAATAAAAAAAAAAAAAAAAAAAAAAACAGACGCCTAGAAAACCGAGTCACATTTTTCTGTACGTATGTATTTCCATCTGATAAGAATTTAATTACAATGCACATAAACAAAATGTATACAAATGTATTAAGCACACACGCACACTAATAGTACTAGCTGTGCGCCAGAGCGAGATAGCAATCGTGGGGGTTGGAGTGAGCGAGAGGGTCAGTTTGATATCCAAATAAGGTCTCTTTTTTTACACAATTCTGGCGAATTTGCTGTACTCTTTAGATTAAAATTAGGTAAATCTAATAATTCTATCAAATTATTTAATTACTGGGATTGTGCATATGTATATATAATAATATATAAAATATCACAAAAGCTGCACACTGAAGCTACACAAGAAATATAGCCAAATGCCAAAGTATTCCATGTTATCCCATGCATCCCACTTTAAGATTAGTGTATAAACCGTATAATAACAAGCCGAACCCAAAACAGAATCTCCGGCAATCTTTTTGCGCCATAATGACAGCCGCAGACACGAACACGGACAGTAGCAGCAGTGGAGGCACAAACCGAATCGGATTCAGAATCAGAAACAGAGTCACCAAAATCGAAATCCACGTCGGAATCGGCATGGCGAGATTGGGAGCTGAATGCAAATAAGCAACTGAAAAAGAACCAAAAAAAAAAAAAAAAGAATCTTCAGACTACAGTGAATGTGTAATGAAGTGTAGTGAAATGTAAAGCGAGAGAGCAAGGTAGCAGGCAAAAGTAAAGGGGAACGGATGTGGAAAAAATAAGTCACTGTATAAACCATGTTCATATCTTATTTGAACTGTGACGCCAGCGACCACAGCAGCAGTAGCCATGGTGATACTTGCAACAACTTGAGCAGCAGCAGCAGCAACATCAGCACAGAAACCAGCGACGGCAGCAGCAACAACTGTTGCAACTGCAATTGCCATATCTGCCCCAATATCGACTGCTGTGCGAGCAGCAGTGGAAGCAGCAGCAACAACATAGTTACCAACTGCAGTTGCAGTAAGTGCAACAATATCAACTGCAGCAGCATCTGCAACAGTCAGCATAGGACTAGCCGCAGCAGTAGCTGCCACAGCAGCGGTTGCAACTGTAGCCGCAGTGCATGCACACAAACTTGCAGCTGTAATTGCAGCACTTGCAACAAAATCAACTGCAGCAGCAGCAGCAGCAGCAGCAGGGACAACGCACCCGCAGCAATTTTCGGAATGGAGCGATTGCTGCACGCGGTTCGCGAGGAGTTCCAAACGGAGGACGAGTACGAGGACGAGGTGGACGATACGGCAAATGGGCTGCACAGGAGCAGCGTCAGCAGTTGCTGCAGCAGCCACAGCAGCAACAGCCACAGCAGCAGCAGCAGCAGCGGCAGCAGCAGCAGCGATGGCAGCAACTCCACCGCATCGCAGCCTCTGTCGCCGTCGCTGCCGCAGCCGCGACGGCGACTTCAGCGCAGCGATAGTTTCGGCTCCGTTGGGGGCGGTGTGGCGGGGGGCGTGGCCGGCGGAGGGGCGGCGGGAGCGGGCGGAGTGCGGCGCTTTCGCCGCTCCTCAATCGGCATGCAACGGAAGTCGGCCTTCCGCCAGCGCAAGCTCGACTCCTTGGGGGCGTGGCGCCGGAAGAGGTGAGTCCCTGAAATATGCAGCAGCGGATTCCCACACGCTCATAAAAAAGAAGAGGGTAGAATACTTAAATTAATGCGAATATGTCCATCGCAGTAGGGGGAATAACTTCTAGCTTTAAAGGACGCCACAAACTTTGGAAGTATTTGAGAAAAGCTGGCTCCTCCTAATAGTATTTGACCAAAAGAGCCACGTTTCCAGTGCTTATCGAACCCAAAATGTGCATTATTAAATACCTATTAATATTTTCCCCCAAGCAGGCGTACCGCTTCGGCCAGCAACTCCCGGAGACCCATACGGATTGTGCCCGATTGGACGGAGAACGCCGTGCAGGGCGAGCACTACTGGAAGCCCACCTCCGCCTCCGGCGATCTGTGCTGCCTGAATGAGGAGTGCATTGTAAGTTAATGATATGCCCTGCAGTGGCAAACTCAATTGAAATAAAAAGAAGCATTCCTTCAATTCAATTAACACGAAAAAGGGAAGCTCGATGTGAAGGGCAGGTTACAGACATGTGAGCGTAATTTATTTATTGCGTGTCTGTCCAACATTCACGCAATAAAGGCGAAAATGCTAGGGTTCTTTCCTTCTTTTTTGTTTGTTTTTGGACAAGAACGATGGGCGTGTCATCACTTTGGGGCAGCGACCAGCCAAAAGCAACAGAATATGTACTTTATCAGGCTCATTGTCAAGCGAGCGGAGGGGAAAAGCCGAGGAATACAAGTCACATGGGGCAGACCGGCTACTGTGGCAAGTCCTGTCTTATCTCAATCTATTTGCAGCAATAAATTAAGGTGGGGTAGGGTAAAAAGTTTCAGGTTAGCAGAAAATATGGCAAAAGAACCTTTGAGAAGCTGCTTTAATTGCCAGTTTAATCTTCGTTCGCTTGGCAACATGCAAAATTCGCCAGGCCAAGCGTATCTTATTTAAAGTTGAAACGAAAACAATTAAACAAAAACAGATACAGATACAGATGCAGATGCAGTTTCGGCACAAGTGAAGCCAACTAGCACAAGGTTTTTCCTTAGTTTTCGCAAGGATAACACAACTTTCAGACACCTGAGGCTGTGCATCCTTGGCGGGAATCCGTTTTCACCTGTCAAACCGCAGCAACCTCAGCAATTAATTGTCAAAGTTTGCATTTCCGAGAACGCTAGCCGCAGTTGCAGCACCGCTGTCATTTGAGCGCAGTTTTGTTGAAATGCGGGAGTTTGCTAATTAGCGCAAACAAAAGCCAAAATGCCGCAAAATTAATTACATGGTGCATATGCAAAGGGGTTCTTCCCAGAAGCCATATGGTTGGTCTTCATCATTTACCTCTGAGGGGCTTTCAATTAAAGGGCATAGATAGATAATATATATAGATAGTGTCCACCGTATCCACCACGTTTTGCGTGCCATTTCAGAAAAGCGGACAGCGGATGAAGTGCTCCGCCTGCCAACTGGTTGCGCACCACAACTGCATTCCGTTCGTCAACGAGAAGAGCACCCTGGCCTGCAAGCCCACCTACCGGGATGTGGGCATCCGGCAGTACCGGGAGCAGACCACCACCCACCACCACTGGGTGCACCGCAAGCTGGAGAAGGGCAAGTGCAAGCAGTGCGGCAAGGTAGGTTGGCCACCACACCCCGTACACCCGTTACTATGTGTGTTCTTTTCCTTTACTCTTTCGTACTTCAAACCATTGAGTTCTTAATACAAAATACATTACAATTCGGATACAAATGCTTAGCAGCTCCGTTCTTTTTTCTGGTTTTGTCTGGATTTACGCCCTAGTTTTCTGGCTAAATTCCAACAACGGAGCTTAATTCGACTATAGAGTAAATACTGCATATACATTCCAGCAATCAATAGAAAGCACACAGGACATAAGATATATTTCCTTATTTGTCACATTGCAACAAAATAAAAATACCAATCAAAAGATATTCAGAGATTGTAAAAACAAAACATACTAAAAGAATTGCCTCGGTTACAAAACATCGATACCCATTGCTCCATTTTAATAATGAAGAAAAAGGTTAGGCTTACAATGACCACAGAACTTTAAAAACTATCCAAGCTTACACAACATATTGCTTTGTGAAATACCAAATTTTAGATAATTTTTTTGCCATTTTTGTAAGGGGTACCGCCATCAAAACTTGCCAAAAATATAATTCCCATATTCTAACACAGTTTTATTGAGAAGGTATGGCATTCAATATTAAGGTAAATAATTCGGATGTTCTGATCCAAATACTGATTATTTTTTACACAAAAAATCAGAGAAAAGAATTTTTTAAGATTTTACGACCAAAATTCAAAAAAACGGATTTTGGCAAAAATGCAAATTTTTTTTATGGGCATTTTAATCATAACTTGGCTAAAAATTATCATAAACATGAAAGAATAACTGTTTTGAGCAGCTAATTACCAATACTAACGATCCCAATCACTTTTTGACGGAATTTGGGAAATTAATTTTTGAGTCAATTTTCGCATCTTTTGTAAGGGGTCACATCATCAAAATATGAAAAAAATGGCAAAAAATTAGCATTCCCATTTTTGAACACAGTTCAATTGGAAATTTAATTACGAGCGCAACGAGGTATACCATTCCATGTTCAGACAATTATTTTTAAAGTTGTGGCCAAAAAACTGATTATTTTATGACCGAAATTCGAAAAAACGGATTTTGGCAAAAATTAAAATATTTTTGTTGGGCATTGTAATCATAACTCGGCTAAAAATGATCATAAACGTGAAAGAATAACTGTTTTGAGCAGCTAATTACCAATACTAACGATCCCTATCACTTTTTGACGGATTTTGGGAAATTCATTTTTGGGTCAATTTTTGCATTTTTTTTAAGGGGTAACATCAAAATTTGAAAAAAATGGCAAAAAAATGGAGTTCCCATTTTTGAATACAGTTTGTTTGGAAATTTAATTACGAGCTCAACGAGGTATGACACTCCATATTCAGGCAATTATTTTTAAAGTTTTGGTCAAAACACTGATTAGTATAATGAAGTTAAAGAAAATTGAGTCAGCTTTTACGTAATGAGTAACGGGTATAATAAGAAAACGACTTCACACTTTGAATTATTCGATTTTGTTGGTATGCATGCTTATTTTAAAAATATATTTTCAAATTAATGTTACGTTGAGTTCTTAAAATGATTTTCGTAAACGCAATTGATTGAATAAAGTTTTGAATTTCTTAGCGACATCAGTTTGTTCGTCTTCCGTGTGACAAATATATAGAGTGATTCTGGAACTAGGACATTATTATATTATTACGTGTTATGCACTTATCCCTTTAGTTCTTTCCTATGAAGCAGGCGGTGCAAAGCAAGCTTTTTGGGTCGAAGGAGATTGTGGCTTTGGCCTGTGCGTGGTGCCACGAGATCTACCACAACAAGGAGGCCTGTTTTAACCAGGCCAAAATCGGCGAGGAATGTCGTCTGGGTGAGTCGTCTGTCCCCCCTTACCACCCATCACCACCCACATCCCCTTTTCCGCAGCCCCTGCCCTTTTTTTCTTGATTAATTACGTGACGTGCATGCAAATAAATTGCGGTCCGTTAACTTAATTAAGATTTGTGCATTAAAACCGAACCCTTTGGCCCTCATGAGCTCCTTCCCTTTCATGTCCTCTCACTTTCCATTCATTTTCCATCTGTTTGGCTTGGTGGGTAAACATTTTTCGTTCAGTGTAAATACTTTGTTTTTGCTGGAAAAAATCAGCGTAGAGAACTTTCTCCAGCAAGCAGAGGCCATGCAAATTAGTTTGGAAAACAAATCGTTGACAGAAGCATTAAAATAATATTCCACAGAGATAGTTCAAGAAAAATGCAATTACAAATGCCATACAAAGTTCGATTATGGGATTGCATTAATCAAAACTTTAGCTACTAAAAAGAAGTTAAATCTCAAGCGAACTGGAGCCTGTAGCTTAAATTCCAGTTGAACAGATGAAGGTTTTTTTGTATTCCATAAAAGTAATTGCGTTTTGCAGCATCTTATGCCACAAATAGACTCAAATATCCAGAGAGCTAAGCTTTTTTTAATTAATGCCATTGCAGAAAGTGCTAACGTGCCACCTCAGCCACTGCTGATGTTTATGTAAAAAAAATAGAAAACTACAAAGTAAGATAGAAATTCCTCTCCACACAACTGTGTGCAACTAGCAGAATGATGGCAGTGTGGCAGCTGGGGCAAGTTAACCGCTTCCTGTTCACGTTTTTGTAAAGTGTCTCAATGAGCATCTTGTTAACACACTCTCCCTGCCACAGACACCATTACGTGGACAGGACATGGACGGGGGACGCAGGCCGGAGATGAGGACCAAGACACTACAAAATAGAATTACGAGGGGCCGTTGACGGCCGTTGGGTGTGAGGTCCTTTGTCTGGCTGGACTGGTCTCGTATCCTTTTTGCGGCACTCATAATTGCTCTTTGGTATGCCGGCTATGTTGGGGCTTCAATTTCTCCCGTCTGATTCCCTGATTCCCTGATTCCCCCCTCCTAATTCCTAAGCACTTTTCACACAATTGGCCAGCCAGCCATCTATTATGTGCCAACTGGGTTAAAAAGAGCGTAAAAGTAACAATATTCGAAAAATAAGTGAGTTTATAGCTGCTGATGTTTATCTATTCGGAGCACCCGCAAATATTCATGCGAATATTTATTTTTTGCCAGTGTAATATCCGCACTCACCGTGTTTTTCGCCCTGTGTATCCTTCGCAGGCAACTATGCGCCCATCATCGTGCCGCCATCGTGGATTGTGAAGCTGCCAACCAAGGGCAACTTCAAGTCCTCGATACGCGTGAGCAACAAGAACAATGCCGCATCGGGATCAGGAGCAGGAGGAGGAGGAGGTGGTGGCGCCGGAGGCGGTGGAGGCGGTGGTGGTGGCGGCGGCAAGAGCAAGAAGCAGACGCAGCGGCGGCAGAAGGGCAAGGAGGAGAAGAAGGAGCCGCGGGCGTTCATTGTCAAGCCCATTCCATCGCCGGAGGTAATCCCGGTCATTGTCTTCATTAATCCCAAATCGGGGGGCAATCAAGGCCACAAGCTGCTGGGCAAGTTCCAGCACCTGCTCAATCCTCGCCAGGTTTTCGATCTTACGCAGGGCGGCCCCAAAATGGGGTGAGTATATTTATATTCCTATATATATTTTGTTTTCACCTTAAATACTCTACGTTTGCAGCCTGGACATGTTCCGGAAGGCGCCCAATCTGAGGGTCCTGGCGTGCGGCGGCGACGGCACCGTCGGCTGGGTCCTCTCCGTCCTGGACCAAATCCAGCCGCCGCTCCAGCCAGTTCCGGCGGTCGGTGTCCTGCCCCTGGGCACCGGAAACGATCTCGCTCGCGCTCTCGGATGGGGAGGGGTGAGTAGTTTTCCGCAGAAAAATAGTACAAAACAATACGCCTTGCAGTGGCTACCACGTTTCAAATTTAATTGACACTTCGGAAGAAAGTACTAACAGTTTAATACTTCAGAAGAAAGTACTAACAGTTTAATACTTGAGAAGAAAGTACCAACAGTTTAATACTTGAGAAGAAAGTACAAACTGTTTAATACTTGAGAAGAAAGTACCAACAGTCTAATTAAATTTGAAATACTCAAAAAAAACTAGTTAGCTATAAATTTGATTTTTGGTTCTGCCAACCGTGCGTATGAGCAATATTATTACGAATCGTAAAAATACTCATACGCCCTGTTAGCCACAACAACTACTGAAAGCTTAAAGTCAATGCAGACTCAATGCAAGTAGAGTAATATGCAGTGCGGCCTATAAAAAGTAGAACCACAGTAAAATAAAGAGTAAAAAAAACCAAAAAATACACTGGGCCGTTTTACATACTAGTTCCAATACGCGGAAGATTGAAAAATAAATTGTAAGAACCATCTGTGGTCTATAAGAATAATTCCGATTGAAATGCTATGTGCAACGTAAGTACACGCATTTTTCTATGGTAAACGTAGTATTATTGTATTAAAACACGGTACACGGTAAAAAATCATACATGCTTACAAAATGTTAGTGTAGAAACGCTTGACTTTATAAGTAACTGGTATCAGAAGCTTTTCAGCGACTGTAGAAATGTTGATGGCATTAGTTATTTAACTCGACTTCATTTGTAGTTACTGTAATCTAGACCTAATATTGCCTTGAATCATTGCACATAAAAGCCTCAATAATTTTAAAGTCTATTTTCTTTCAGGGCTACACGGACGAACCGATTGGGAAGATATTGCGCGAGATCGGGATGTCCCAGTGCGTGCTAATGGATCGCTGGCGGGTGAAGGTTACGCCCAACGATGACGTCACCGATGACCACGTCGATCGCAGCAAGCCCAACGTCCCATTGAACGTCATCAACAACTACTTCTCCTTCGGCGTGGACGCGCACATCGCCCTGGAATTCCACGAGGCACGAGAGGCACATCCGGAGCGCTTCAATTCGCGCCTGCGCAACAAGATGTACTACGGCCAGATGGGCGGCAAGGATCTGATCCTGCGCCAGTACCGCAACCTCTCCCAGTGGGTGACGCTCGAGTGCGATGGACAGGACTTTACCGGAAAACTGCGCGACGCCGGCTGCCATGCCGTGCTCTTCCTCAACATTCCCAGGTGGGTTCAAGCGATTTAAGACGTTTAAGTGGCATATTTACAGCGAAGCCCTTATCCTTGCAGCTATGGCGGCGGCACCCATCCATGGAACGACTCATTTGGCGCCTCCAAGCCATCAATCGATGACGGCCTGATGGAGGTGGTGGGCCTGACCACCTACCAGCTGCCCATGCTGCAGGCGGGCATGCATGGCACCTGCATTTGCCAGTGCCGCAAGGCTAGGATCATCACCAAGAGGACCATTCCGATGCAGGTGGACGGAGAGGCATGTCGCGTGAAGCCATCGGTGATCGAGATCGAGCTGCTCAACAAGGCACTGATGCTGTCCAAGAGGAAGCACGGACGCGGCGATGTTCAGTGAGTGCAAGTTGCGAAATTAGTGCCAATAAATGGCTAACAAATTTCATAATTGATGTTTCTACGCACTGCATTTCAGAGTGAATCCCCTGGAGAAGATGCAGCTGCACATCTTGCGCGTGACCATGCAACAGTACGAGCAGTACCACTATGACAAGGAGATGCTCCGCAAATTGGCCAATAAGCTGGGCCAAATCGAAATCGAATCTCAGTGCGATCTGGAGCACGTGCGCAACATGCTCAACACCAAGTTCGAGGAATCCATCTCATACCCAAAGGTCTCGCAGGACTGGTGCTTTATCGACTGTAAGATATATTTGGCATACCATTGGAGAACCACTCAGAAGTAACCTTAATCTCTGTACCAGCCTGTACCGCTGAGCACTACTTCCGGATCGATCGTGCCCAGGAGCACCTGCACTACATCTGCGACATTGCCATCGATGAGCTGTACATTCTGGACCACGAGGCGGCCACCATGCCGCAGACTCCCGACCAGGAGCGCTCCTTCGCAGCCTTCTCGCAGCGGCAGGCACAGAACGAGAGGCGCCAAATGGATCAGGCCCAGGGCCGCGGCCCGGGCAGCACCGGTAGGATCCTGTTGGCTGGCTGCTGGCCGCCGGGGGCGGGACTGGCCAATCGTACCGCTCGTACCGCTGACGAGCTGCCGCTCCAGGAGCGCCTAACGCTCTACCAGCAGCAGGTGGCCGAGCAGCTGCCGTACCAAGATAGGCGCATGTTCCTTCACCTCCACTTCCGCAAACGTCGCGTCGAGATCTGATTTCCTGCGATCTTGGAAACCACCTAGACCTACCACCTAAACCCATCTAAACCCCACCTCGCCATTAACCCGCAGAACACCCAACAATCCCAATCAAAATTCGATGGGGAGCGGAGTGGAGGGGTGCCAGTTGCAGTCGGGCCACCTTTTTTTCCGTTGCATTGCATTTTGTTTATGGTTAATTATGTCTTGCATGTTTAGTCACTAACATTAACACGCTGACATGCAGATGCGGTTTAAATAATGCACTCATAATATACAAGTTTATATTCAATGTTTTTGGAATTTTTTAAGCCACCAACTCGAAATAGCTTTGCAAAACTATAATAATTATAATTATAAAATATATAAATACTACCTGACCAAAAGAGGTAGTTTTGTGCTATTATTTTGACCGCAACTGTACGCATCAACACCTACATACAACGACATACACACACACCCACATCCGCTAAAAGCCCAAGTCTTAAATTGCGAGGAGCCGAATACAGCTTAGTCCTTGCCACGATCGCATGTGAGTAGAGCATTAAATACGAGCACTCCTGGAACTATCTGGTATATAATCCCGGCTTACATCAACAGTTAACCGTAGCAAGGACCAAACCGTATTCGTTACGATCCCATCCATCCCAAACAACCAAACAACCAAACTAGCAACTAACCAACCAACCAAATAATACAAAAATACCGAAAAACACTGAAAATATATGCGGGTAGGTTTGATGCCATGCAAATTGTGCTCTGGTAGTTTGGACTTGTTGTGTACTTGATTTATAGTTACATTAGTTGTGACCCACTTACTTTAATTGCTTACTAACAATATGTGAATCTCTTTTCGAATTTACACACCAACAAATATATATATATATATATACATGTACATATATATATAAAACACACTACAAATTGAAACATACTAAAAACACACAAAGATGAGGATTTGCAAATTGGCTCCAAGCCCATAAAAGTGATGAAGTGGAAGAGGTAAAAAAGCGTCCCCCAATTCGTTCAGCATTTCATTCAGACTCCATGCGAAGAAAAGAGACCAATAGCTGTGGCCGAACCGAGCGAGACGGCACTAGTAATTCAAAATTTTGTTCACATGGAGCGATCTCTCTCTCTATATATATTTATCTCTCTTTACCTCAGCCAATTGGCCTGTTTCGCAGCTGTCTTGCTCGTTTGGCATTACGTTTTCGCTTGCTTGCTCTCTCTCTCTCTTTCACACGCTTTATTCATGGTCCACGGTATATCCTCCATCTTTCACACACTCGCCATGTCTCTCTCTCTATCCTCAGCATCCTTCTCTCTTCTTCTTTATTTAATTGAAATAATTTTATAATTATCCTAATTTCTGTACAATATGGTATAACTTTTGCATGCAGCAACAAAGATCGTTTATTCAGTTTCAACGAAGATGTTTTTGGTTGTGGATTCAGGTATTCCGTATAACTATCCGTCTCTTTCTTTACTTACTCACTAGACTGTCTGTTATGGCTATCTTTGTCTGTCTCTGTGTCTCTCTCTGTATTTGTCAGTCCTTCTTTCCGTCTTTATCTCTCGTATCATCGACATTTGAATCGATCGAATAAATCTTAAACCGAACTGATGCTTGAATTTTCTTTTTATTTTCTCTACTTTTCCATGCACACACAAACAAACACACCAAACACGCTTTCTCACACACACACACACACACACAACGTTTAAATAATAGCCCTATACTGGAGCAAACTTCCGATGCCATACTACTAGCAGCCCAGAGCGGCGATCTCAATATGGTAGCTTAAATCTTTCAAGAAAATACAATTATATAGTTTACTATTAGCTGAACACCCAAATAATCATTAGTGGACTTATAACACCTGCCCATCCAAACCTTTCTTCCAGTTACGTGCACTACATGAACAAGGATACTCACTACAGTCAGTGAACAAAAACGGACAGACGGCGTTGCACTTCGCCTGCAAATACAACCACAGGGACATTGTCAAATATATTATCGCGAGCGCCACACGACGCCTCATCAACATGGCCGACAAGGAGCTGTAAGTCCTTCGAATAACCCAACTCACTTTTATAATCGTTTATTGCCCTGAGATATGGAAAGCTAACTTACTGGGTAATTTAAAGTAATGGATTCTTGGGGCTTCATTCATGAGTTATAATGCAACTACTACGAGCCCATTTCGTACTTCTTATTTCTTCAAGTGGACAGACGGCGCTTCACATTGCCGCCGAGCAGAATCGCCGCGACATCTGCGTAATGCTGGTTGCCGCCGGCGCCCATTTGGACACCCTAGACTCCGGCGGAAACACGCCCATGATGGTGGCATTCAACAAGAACGCCAACGAGATAGCCACCTATTTGGAAAGTAAGCAGGGGACGCCGCCCGTCGAGTGCTGGCTCGACGACTAGACGAATCGCAGGTCCCCTCCAAGTAGAGCAAACGCTAGACAAGCTTGCAACACATCAGACATCCAATGAAAATCAGAAAATCCAACTATCACCAGAATATACCAGAATATCAGTAAATCAGTAATCCAAAAACAAGAACGTAATTTTAACAATGCAAATTTCTCCTTTCTATGCCAACCAAACAAAACGAAAAACTACCAAAATGGATGAAATGTCGTGTGAATAACGGAACCGAAACAAACCGAATCAAATCAATTCAATTTAAACCAACATTCCACAAATCTCAAAACGCGATTCCGCTTAGGTCAAGAGCGTTTTATGCATCTGGAGAAGCAGACCCGGATCTAAGTGGAGCATCCAGCGGAAGCACTCACCCTACGAAATATTATTAATGCATAATGATAATGGCTTTTTTTTGGCAACCTTTTTTTTTGTGTTAGCATGTACGAGAGAAATCTAATTTAAACTAAGCAAAGAAAATACATACACAGGCAAACACTCAACACATTTAGCGCGTAAGTGGGTGAGATCAGATGGTATGGAATAAATTAATTTATTGTAATGAGAAGCTAGCAAAACGATAGGCAACATTTGTCCGAAATTTCAATTTTTAATTACCTTTCGATAGAACGAACAAAAAATATATACCTATATACATTTAATGCAGCGAATACAAACGGAAATTCGAAATTCATTTATTTCTCTTACCGATTGATTAACGATAAATGATTATATTGTGATATCTAAATTAATTAACGTATTGGACTAGAGAGCAAGAACGAGAGCAAATAGAAATTGATATTAGCAAAGGGCATTTGCTGTAATACTAACTGAAGCAAAAAAGTTGAAAACGAAAAAAAAACAAAAAACAAAAACAAGCAAAAACACACACACAGAGACACACTAAGCAAATATATAGTCTATACATTATATATATACATATATATATTTATATTTAATTAAATGTACTTCTTTTGGAATTCAAACTAGGCTAAGTGAAAACTTGAATACTCTTGTCAGAAGAAAAATGAATGATGACAGCAGAGCAGCAGCACGATTAGAAGAGAGACGCACTAGACCCTAAGCGGCTATAGCTCTCTCGCTCAGACAGAGGCACACACACAAACACACAGACACACACACACACACACACACACACACTCAGTCCCGATGCACAGACTAGGATGCACAACCCCCATAGATATACCACCCACTTTAACTTCACCCCAAAGCAAACAAACCCTCAGCGTTTCAAACCGAAAGACTTGGGCCGATCAATGGCGTCCACCCCCCAAAAACAAGGTAACCTGCCCCGGAAAAAAAAGAAAAAACAAAAAATAATAGATTTTAGGACGGGGCAGGCACCCAACAAAGACTATCTTAACTATCCTATTTACTATATTCCGAACTCCTTTACTTTAAACCCTTGTAACACAAAGCAACAATGGAACAATGAACACGAGCACTTGTGTCGTACGTAATACGAAACACACTTAATATTAACGCATGCATATTTTGTCTGTATATGCATATATATTGTAACTATGGAATAATGGAATACCACAATATTATATAGCCGTTTATCAAACCATATATGTATGCTATGTACAGTAGAGGGATATTCTATTTTTTCTATTCATTTATCTTTTTCTTTTTTTTTTTCGCTCAGATTCTAAATTTTGAAATTAAATTTAATCACAGAGTCGAGTCAATTACGTTAAAACATTTTCATGGCTTAGCTAAACTTTACGATTATAGCGATAAAACGATGATAAATGAATGATAAATCTCACTATCGATTAATAAGGCACCCAGGAGCGATTAAGTATCGATCACCTTTACGAGCCTGGGCCGAATGCAGCCCTGGCCCCCAGCCCGACCAATCGCAATCGCGACTCAGTTCCTGGAAAACCATGGCTCTGGCTTTCGGATCTCTGTAGTCGGTTTGGGTCAATTGGGGGCCATCGCCAGCATTCCACCCAACCCGCCCCCTGAGCCACTTCCGGTCACGGAGGTGCGCTTCCGGCGTGGGTAATCATGTTTTGGATTGCACACACACACGCAAAAATTAGTGTTAACTAATGTTAACACACGACTACACCCCCCACAAACACATACACATACACATCGTAGACTGTCGCAGTTGGTGTCGAAGTGCCGCAAACCACGATTTTCGATTCGGGCTTTGCGGGATCTCGGGCATGCTGCCTTTACGCCCCATAAGACGTGCCACCCATTGGGCAACCGGAATCCAAAATCGTAACACCAATCGACACCGCCTGCGGCACCTAATGAATTCTTCAGCTGCGGTCAAAATATCCGGCGGTTATATCAAAAGACGAAAATTATACTCAATTATAACTAGCTTTTAAAGTTATGCTTTTATATTTGCTGATTATATTGAGTTTTTAATGTAGAGGTGCGAAAGTACAAACCTTTATGCATTTGATCATTTTACGTTTGAAATATAATTGAATATCTTCTTTAATTTTTAAAATGTATTTGATTTTTGATATACATATTCGATTTGTATTTAATAGAAGTTGAAAGAATTACTTGTTTGTTCATGAACTTTCTGTTATTTATTATTTAAAATTTGTATACTTTTAAGCACTCGCCACAATGGCGATCGCAGCTGGAAATCCATATGCAGTAGAGCAGAATTGAGTAAGGAATATTTAGCAATTGACAATCTAGAGAATTTGTAGCAAATGAGCCGAGCAGAAGGCCGATAAAGCGTTTGCTATCCCCCCTAAACCATTCACTATAAACCGAAACTTAAGAACGCAACCCTAAAAATCCGATAATCAATAAGAAAAGAAAAATTCAAAGTAAAACCAAAACTTCGAAACAATTTGGTTAGTTTTCGCAAATCTGCTATATAGAAAAAGGCTTCAAAATGAAATTGTAGTTGAAGGATTTACGCGGGAAGGCGGAATTAGTTTAGTGTCACCGAGGAGTGTGCTATTTATCGATCTAGACGGATTAAATGCTAAATGGTTAAAGATAATGATGACGAATAAGTAGGAAATAAATACTGACGAGGGCTGAAAATGCAAGAAAATGGCTAGCCAAGTGTCACAGCTGTTCGGAGAACAACCGGGTCCAAGCCAAAACTATGGATATATTTTCGTGCATTGCATTTTGTAGAAGTTGAATATCCACAAGACACTGAAAAACACATGGATACACGCCACACACACACACAGAGGCAAAAAACAGAAACAAAATGGAAACACTTACTGCATGATGTGTACATAGGAACAACATAGATGCTATATATATATGCAAGTATATATAACTATATATATAGACATACATATATAGTATATATTTTTTTCGAATTGTTTAAGTGAAACTTTTGAACAAAATATGGAAAAATGAAACGCAAGTCTTATGAAATCCTAGCAAGTAAGGCAAACCAAAATTGTAAAGGTCAAGATACAGAAATGGACGGAGGAACGATATACCTAAAACAATGCCTAACTGTACGATAGTAAGCATACTATATATATATTGATAACGTAATAAAGCGGAATATATGTGTACAAGTAATCTATTTATTTACATCAACAACCCTGTAAATACAAAAATTCAGTCCAATTTTCTACCGATTCCTAACTACCGCGTTTTATTTCGATTCTCGCCCAATCCGAAACTTTGGACAGACAACGACTTTGGATTCTCCCTTCCACCTGGATATACACTATATATACATTTAATTATTAACTTACGCAAGTCTGAAAGTATTTCTATCGAAGAGTTCTAAACTGCTTAACTGTAAAGTGTACATATACCGAATTACAACCACTCACAGATCCTATAAACTATATTTATTACTGTAAGAAAGTCCCACACACTAATGATAATCCCCATACTGTATGTATATGCCTATTCAATATATATATACTTTTTTTGGATTAGTCACTAAGCATAGACAACATGAATTACTAAGTACGATATGCACTGCAAGCACTGAGGAATTTGATTCAATTTTACTTAAGACAAACGAAAAGAGAAATTGAAATAGCATTTAGCAAACCTAACGGAAAATCAAAAAACCAGAATGAAATAAGAGAATCTTCGATTTCTGGGATAATAATTAAAAATTGAATATTCATTTTTCGAGCTACATCGGATGAGAAATACCGACAACAAAAATTTATTCGCTTGAGGCAATTGTGTGGGAAAGTCGAGAACGTTTAGCATCTGGATTGGCTATGCAGCATTCGTATGTTATATATGTACTTAGATACCCAAACCAACAGACCACACACACACACACACACACACACACAGACACACACAATACACACACACGAATATTAAATAGATGTACAATAGTTATAAAGACTCATTCGCATCGATCCTTTAAGCCATAGTCTATCCTGTTAAGCTCTCAACCAAAATTGTAATTTTCGGACCCGCAAAAACGAACCCCAAAGCTCATCTATGAGTTCTGCTTAGATCCAAGTGCAACTTTCAAACAATTGTAAAAAAGAATACACTTTACGCTAGCGAATCCCAAAAATATTGGACAAACGATCGAAATCATCCACAAAATTGCTTATAATATGAATTTTCTGACTCTCTCCTAAGGGAAAATAAAATTTTTTTTTGGTATTTCAAACTCAATAACATTGACTTTCCTTTCGGGCGGGCGTGCATTAAAATTATGACATACTTTTGGGCTTTCACTCCAACAGGTGGAGGCAAATGTAGGTGAGTCATGGATTATCAAGAAACTCAATACGATATTAGAATTTTGTAATCAGCATATAGACGGAAGTGGAAATAAGTCATCGCGTAAGTACGAAAGATGCTAATTTCTGGACTGCATTCCTCAACCTTGAAGTCATCAAATCACCTTTAGTGTGAACACGAAGCTTGTGCAATGGGCATTGAACAATAATACATTTTTAGATATTAAAAATGAACAATTTTTTATAGTCAGCTTGCCAAAATTCGGTCCATTCCAATCGCTACAGCAAACAGATAAAATTTATTTTTTTTATTACACATAAGAAATCAAGAAATAGTTAAAGTCAATAGTAATCAAGAAATAGTTAAAATCAATGGCATTCAGGAAATAGTTAAAATTAGTAGTGATCAAGAAATAGTTAAAATCAATTTTAATCAAGAATTAGTTAAAATCAATAGTAATCAAGAAATAGTTAAAATTAAGTTTAATCAAGAAAGAGTTAAAATCAATAGTAATCAAGAAATAGTTAAAATCAATTTTAATCAAGAATTAGTTAAAATCAATAGTAATCAAGAAATAGTTAAAATCA